TGAGGGACTATGTCGGTTGCATCTATGAGCTCCTTCTCTAAGCCTGGCCCCCTGGGAGGGGCCATTCAGGTATTTTCTCACTTAATCCTCACAGCAGCCCTGTGATGTTGGGAGAGGAGCTGCTCTGCTCTTACACGCACCATATTCTACAGATGAAGAAATTGAGGCTCAGAGAGGCTGGTTGTCTTGTTCAAGGTCACAGAGCTGGTAAGTGGCAGATGCTGGCTTCAGAGGCTCTACTTGTTCCTCCGAACCTCACCACATCACACCAGATGGGCCACGCTGGACTTAGGCAAAGCGAACTTCGTCCTTCAAGTGTGAGGAACGCTGGGAGCCCACAGCACACGCCTGGGATGCCTCCACAAGGAAAACTGCCCCCCTGATCTGCTGGAGCTCTTCCCACCCAAGCTTAAAGTGTTCACAGCCTTGAGCAAGCAACATTGCATACTCCCCCAACAATGGCGTTCCATGGGGGTAATGGGACAGATGCCGAGGCCACTTGGAATTCCTAAGAGTCCAGGGAATTCACCTAAGATACCATCATTTCATGTCGAAGCGTTAGAGCAGGCGGCTAGCTAGATATGAGCAGAGAAAGGCGATGCAGGACAAATGGCAGAAACTGGGCAAACAGGAGGGACACACGCCAAATGCAGGAGACCCTATACTGTGTAAACAACAGGGGTCCCTGGGCAGAGAAAGAAATGCAGGAACCTCTGGGCTGATAACGCAGTAACACATTTTGGGGTGACATGTGGCCTGGAGGCCAACAAAGAAAGATGGGAAAAGGCAGGAATCTTCAGTGTCCAAGTGTAACCTTTTTCTCATTATGCCTTCATTTCAATAAAATTAGCCTTGCAGATTAGAAGTACCCATCATGCACTGATGCCATGACACTACCAATGCAGACTAAATAAGGACAAAAATCCTCCCTTCAAGAAGGTGAAGTTGGGATGAAAATCAAAGGATACGACCTCAAACCCTTCCCTCCCCAGTGGATACTCCGTCCATTCATTTTTACCCTCTGTGTAACCAGTTTGCTAAAGAAACTCAGGGCAGCTGCTCACCTGAGCCTGCCCACGCTCCCCTTGAGAGTGTACTATCCATCCCTTAATAAATCACCACTTTACTTCTTGATCTCTGTGTTTAGTCTCTGAATTCTTTCTGCGACAGGACAAGAACTTAGTCACCAGCAACAGAAGAATGACCTGTCATTATATTAGTCTGGACTCTGGTTGGCAAAGACCCAGCTCAAACTAGCTGAGAGGACCAGAGGGGATTTTATTGGTTCACATGGGAACAAACAGGGTCCATTCAGGGTTAGGGTTGGGGTT